CCTCAAAAACATATTAAAAAAAACATGTTTTATTCACAAACATGTTTGAGTAACTCCTTATTATTACAACTCCAAAGCTCAAATTTCTCTCTGGGTCTGTAGGTGATGAAGAAACAACATTAATAACGTAATATGGGCCCTTTAAAATGTATGAACTCCTATTTTAATCACAATCACATATTTTTAGATATTTGGTTGGATATTTTGTATACTTTGTAAATAATACAGATAAACTAATAGCTACTTCTGCATTTGCACTATAGTTTTGTATCCTATGTTTTGTTTGGGTTGCATGTTTGACTGTTATTCTTCAACATTTGCGTTGAAGTGAATGCATTGCAGTTTAGCACCATCTTCCCAACATATGCTGTCTTTAAACGTGCCTCATTAACATCGCCCCGCGGCTCTAAAGTTCGGTGTTTTCCCCTAAACATGAGGTGAAGTGATAAAAGTAACACGTCCCCCTGTGTTTGTGATGCAAATAGACCTAATCTATGTGTTTAGATTATCTCTAACATACCTTAACTAGCCAATTACAGAATAAGATTTATGGTATAGCAATTAGATAACAGTAGGATCGTATATTGACCTATAGAAAAGCAAATACGCCAACATTTAGACCACTTCAAAAACTCTACCCATTAATAGGCCTATATACTATTATTAGGAGTGTAACAATAATCAAAATATCGTGATATCGTATCGTCAAAAGCATCTCAATAATATTGTGGGCCATCACAGTATACTGAATCACAAGTTTCTTTGCTTAAATTCATTGTTATGGTGCAGCAATAGCTAAAAAACAGGGAACTACATAGACCATGACCCTTTGCTCCTTTTTAGTACAAACTACATGAAGAAATAACAGTTCTAAGCACTTTTAACTCATAGTTCTTTGGATTAAGTCTTGTCAAAGCATTTTAAGAGGAAAAAGTAGCAAATTCACAATTTTGTAAGCCTCCACAAAATATCACAATAAATACCGTACCATGAGACATATAACATGAAAATATCATGCCATGAGATTTGGATATTGTTACATCCCTAACTATTATTACTATTATTATTATTCTGAAAGTAGGGTTTGGCTAAATACAGATTACGAAATCCAACGCTTTAAAGTGCCACTATATGTCTTGGTGCGTAATGACGCATGCGTAAAATAGGCTCTAAATTATTTTTAATTATGAATAGGTATATTATTAGCATATAAGTGTCCAAAAAAGTGTTATTATTATTCAGAAGGTTAAGAAATCAAGGTTAAGATACAGTAGTACTTAGTTGGGATCGTGACAGTGCAAGTTTTTTTGTGAATGACTGCGTAAAGTTTACAGTTGCAATCTATTAGGAGTATTATTACGCCTATTAATAGCTTATTACATATTAGCTATTAGCAATATTGATTTGAGCTATTAGCAATATTGATTTGATGAAGATGGTCAAAAATGAGGTTAAGATCTGGCACTTAAAGCTGCTATTGTAACATCCTCACTTTGGAATGAATGCGTAAAGTTGCCAAGCCTATAACGTTTTTATAGGGCTATTTTTATTAGGCTGTTAGTAGTATTATTAGCCTTTATTGTTATTCACAAAGTAGGATTTTATAAAGATAGGCACGAAAGCAGGTGCGATCTAACACTTCAAGTTGCCACCGTAACATCCCCACTTTGTGAATGACTGCGTAAAGGAAGAAAGCAACCGTACGTTACACGAATCCACCAGATGACGCACGTTTTAAATGATAATCCTTTTCATTCACCCTGTTAACAAAGTGAAAACACGGCTTGCATGGCCCTTTCCAGCCCATTGGAGCCGTTTCAAGCCTGTGTTAGCGGCTCAGCGGAGGGGGGCAGAGCGCTGTGATCAGGCCGGCCTCAGAGCAGCACCCTGGGGAGAACAAAGCGCACGGACTGGAAGCGCTGGAAGACCCACACAGCCGCACACCGCATGCCGCCCACGGAGCTGCCTAACCCGGCCTGCTGTTCCCCGCCAAGCCGCTGCTGATTGAAGTGCAGCCCCTCGCAGCGGGACGGGCACAAGGGAAGCGTTTTGAATAATTATTATGTTACTGAAGTGTAATTTACAACACAAGACTGCCAGTTTATAGATATTCCTGTTAGCGTAAAGCAGAACGCCCCTTTCCTCAATTTGCCCCTCGGTTCAAATTAAACTTTCACGCGTAATAGAAGAGTTTTCACACTTTCTCTCCAAAATCAATCCACAACACGATGGCGTAGAGGTGGGCCATGGGTGACATTTGCGTTGTGGCGAAAGAAAACACAATAAAACACTTTAAGAGCTATTACGAGCCTGTAAATTTCTTGTCGTCACACATGTTCCCTGCTTATTTATGGCCACACAGACTTCATTAAAGAGTAGAAGTTCTAATGAAGTTGAAGTATAAATTATAGAGCTGTGTCAAATACAAGTCCAGGGGTAAAACGTGATCAGCTATTGGGAAGATTGGATGGATGAAATGAGTAATAGTGACAGTAAAGTTTTTATGGGTAAAATATTTGGTGACATTTGTTTATAATTGCACTTGAATTAAGTTTCAAATCACTTTTGGAAGTTGCTGTATGCTTAAAAACTCTAGATAATAGCCTCTAGCAATAACCCAAGTCATACAACTACTGTACATAGGCTAATGAAATGAAAGGCCTATATCGCTTCTCTAGTCATTTTAATATATTTAAAGCAGAGATTTGTAACACTATTTATATGCATATTGGGTGTTAATTGCAATACTCTAGTTTCAGTTAAAGGTTAAAGTATTGAAGTAGTAGCAGAAGTAGCAGCAGCAGCAGCAGTAGTAGTAGTAGTAGTAGTAGTAGTAATAGTAGTAGTAGTAAAAATATATAGTTTTAGACCTACACTGGAAGAAAAAAAGAATATCTAGTTAAATTAAAATGAATTAAATTAAGAAGATTTGACTTTATTTGAGTAGATTCAACTTGACAAGTCAAAGTATCTGCCAATTCAATAAGTGTGTTTTTCTTAATTCAAGCAATATTAGATTTTTTTTTTTATTTTAAGTGCAAAAAGTTGTTTTTCTTTCCTTAAGTGTACCAAGATGTATTTTCATATTTTAAGAACAAAAAGTCTTATTCTACTGTCAGATCATTTGACTTGCCAAGTGAAATTTACTGAAATCATGATCAAACTTTGTTAATTCAAGTCATCTTAACTTTATTGATCGACAAGGGAAATTATTTGGACATTGGAAATTTATTTATGACCCAAAAGTTCAGTTATATATATAAGTATATATGGACTGGACCTAATTCCCACTCGCAAATTCATGCAATTGGTTCGTAAGATGACACCCAATCATGTCACTTGCTGTGGCCTACCCAAAGTACTCAAGTAACGGTATCTAGTTACTTCGGAGCAAACTTCACTGTTGTCGCTGTAACAGGAGAATACAATAGCCCCAGGTCAAGCACAATGGGGTTGTGTGACTTCAAATAGGAGGAAGATTTACCCAACAAAATCACAGCTACAGATCCCCTCACATCTTTGATTCTTATGTCTTTTAACTCCATGAGTGGGAAACAATACAACTGTAATTACTGGGAAGGATTCATTATATCTGCGCAGAATTCACAAAACAATTCTTTGCTTTATCATTATCCCAAAGATTTAAGCACAAAATAACAAAATAAAACAAACTACTATAGAGCTTAGACTGTTAACTTGAAAAAGCAAAGGTGTAAACGTCAATGGGTTTCAGAATGATGAGAAATTAGGACCGTTGCCATAGTGATTAACAATTTAAACGCAAAATATCACATCTTTTGAATGGGAAAAGTCCTCAAAATGTCACATAACAGTAATCTGAAACTTATAGTTGGAACTCAGGATTTTGGGCATGTGTCATGGTGATTAACAGTTTAAAACAAAAATATGACTTTGTTTGAATGGGAAAAGTCCTCAGAATGTCACGTAACAGAAATCTGAAATGCATAATTGGAACTTAATCAATTTTATGCCAGTTTTTCACGATTCCAAATGCATTAACTTTGATATATCTTTATTTATTTGAGAATGAACCTTAAATTTAGGCAAGTTGGATAGTCTATACTAGTATTTCTTTCTCCTGGAGTGAGCAGCATCCTTGTTTAGTCTCCTCAACACAGTAGCCTTTTCCAGGATTTTCAGAATGATGGAAAATTTTGGGCATTTGCCAAGTTAATTAACAGTTTAAAACAAAATATTACATTGTTTGAATGTGAAAAGTCCTCAAAATGTCATATAACAGAAATCTGACATGAATAATTGGAACTCAATCAATTTTATGCCAATTTTTCACAATTGCAAATGGATTAACTTTTATATATTTTCATTTATTTAAGAATAAACCTTACATTTAGGCAAGTTGGATAGCTTATACTAGTATTTCTTTCACCTGGAGTCAGAAACATCCTTGTTTTGACACAGTAGCCTTTTCCAGGATTTCAGAATGATGGGAAATTTTGGGCATGTGCCATGGTCATTAACAGTTTAAAACAAAATATTACATCGTTTGAAGGTGGAAAAGGCCTCAAAATGTTGCATATAACAGGACCCTGAATACATTTGTTTGATATTCTAATTGATCGGTGAATATCCATTATTTTAATTAAAGTGATAGGCTTTTCTCCCATTAGTCATCTCGTGCATGGAGCCACCATGTTCTGCGCGCTTGTGTCTTCATACGCCCCGCTCTTATCGCATTAATTGATTGCCCGAAGTCCTATATTACTCGGACTACATCATATCCCACTCCCGCTGGCCAGTTATCACCATTCACACGGAGTTATCCCCAAGATGACGATCATAATCTGCCTGAAAGTAATGTACCTACAGGCGGAGGCACCAAAGGGTATGGAGTGCGCTTTCAGCAGATAAAACCCGACCCATCTTTGGTGATAAAGGAGCAACGGGCAGGGGGCGGAGAGAGAAAGAGAAAGAGAAAGAGAAGAAGCAAGGCACGGGTTCAAACGAGGAGGGGTCGAATGCAGAGGGAATGAGAGAAAGAGAGAGAGAAGCAGAGAGAGAGAGAGAGAGAGAGACCCCGTCGCGTTTTGACCCGCGCGTCACCACTCCTCCTCCAGCTCTCCGTCTTCTTCTGTAGAGGCTGCGTGCTCCATCGCTCATTCCCAGCCACTGACACATCCCAAGCAGCGAGGCACGGACGGACAGCGAGCGAGAGGAGCCAAAAAGGAGAGGGACGATCGCCTGCCCGCTTGCTTGCTTGCCTTCTCCCGTCTCCCTTCTCGCTTGTTTCAGCTTCTATCCGGTCTCCGTCTCACCGAGCGACCCGCACTCACTACTAACCCGTCACTGGAGAGAGCTTTACGGGAAGGCACTTCGCTGTTTACCGCCGCCTTTCTTCTCTTTGTGGACACTACCTCCGGACTCACACGGGACTATCGGTGTTTACGGTAAGAGAGCCATCCTTCTGCCCGCCAATGCCTCGCTGTTTACTGCCCGTTTGCGCTCTCAAAGCTAATTCCTTTTAATTGCCCGCTGGATTTCATTGTTATAAGTGCTTTACTACCTCTTCAGATAAGCGTATTATTAACCATTAGCTCCTAAGTAAGACTATTACGCCAATAAAATCTCTAATCCCTTAATGTTGTAACTGTGATGGTCCACCGGGGAGGCGACTGTTTTGTTTACAATCTTGTTTATTCACCGATGAGCTAATTTTACCAACTTCTGCACCAATAAGTGTCTAATTTTCCAACTTGCATTTCCAGGGTTTCACGCAAAGGAGCAGAGCGGCAAAAGCCTTGTGGAGTAGCCGAACAGAGCATCCCCGTCCCCCCGTGTAGGATTGGCTGTCGAGCCGCATGGAGAAGAGGGTAGGTCCCATGTTCTTGAGCTATTTTTTTTTAAGATGTTTTAAATTTAAGAAGGGAGAGTGGGTGAGATGCACAAGGCAATAATTGGGTTATAGCAGTAAGGAGCAGAGCGTGGTTTTAAAAGCATTAATGGACGCCTTACTGCTTGGTTATTACATGAGTGGTCAGCGTGAGAAGCGCAAAACAAGGCCTATGAAGTCACCATTATGGACTGAGACTAGAGAAAGCATGTCAAAAGCGCACACACGCACACTTTCTGAACACGCTTTTACGTCAATTACGTCCGCTTTTCCGTTCGCACGAGCTTAAACGGTCCCGAATTTGACCCTCCCTTGTGACCACGAGTGTTGTTGTTTGGTGACACCACTGAGCCGTGACAAGTGGAGATCAGGGTTAGAGGGAGCAGCGTAGGTCATTAAGAGCAAAGGCGAGATGCAACTCCGTAAGTAGGTCAGTGTTTTTGCTACAGTGATTCACAAGCGTGGAGCATGGATGGATGGACGTGAGGATGGTGCACGGACTGACTGGCATCTTGCTGGCTATACAAGAAGTGTGTGGGAATATAGGTTTGGTACTGTGAAAGCATAGTGCAAACACATAACTCACAAGCAAGGAGTGTGTGTTTTTGAGATTTAATTTGTCTCCAATAAGCCAGAATTTAAACTTGCTTGAAGTTAAGAGGCAAGTTCTTTCTTTGACCGGTAATTCACTCATAATGTTCACTCATAAGATGTTAAACTATTTCCAAAGGGTATAATGTGTTTTTAATTGAGTTATTGCAGCTCGAGAAACAGGCATATGATTTAGCCAGTTATCCAAACTTTTACGCATTACGCACAAAGTTTCCTTAAGTTTTGCCATAAAAAGAGTTAAAAGAATACTTACTTATTTATTCATCATTTTTTAGTGACGTTTAGTGTATTTATTTACCATTTATACTTAAAATCTGTATTGATGTGCAGTTTTAGAAAAAAAAAAAAAAAAAAAAAAAAGGTCACCATAATTAACTTTAGCCTGTGGCAGAGTGTAACAGTGTTGGGGTTCTTTACGCATTGGAAATGGGTAGCCGAGCCAATTAAACAGCCCATTTGGTTTTTCCAATTAAGTATTTGGTAAAAATCATTTAGTCAAGGATCGGTTCTTGCTCTCTGGAGGTGCTGTCCTCGCTGCTCTGTTAATACTGGCCCTTGGGACTTGTTAGCAGTAGCGCACACACGCCTATTAAAGCTGTAAAAAGTTATACGCCGCCGCTGAAATAACACAATTAAACTTCGCGATGTGCCGCTGTCCTTCTCTCCTCTGAGCCCTCTTTTACGTGACTTTTCCTCGGACAAAAAGTTGGGGGAAATCCGCGGTATTTGTCATCTCGACGTGTCCCGCTTTGATCCGCGTGACGCACGGAAACACGATAGGGTCCTGGCGTAAAGGGAGACGTGCAATCCGATAGCGGTGATTGTGTTAATAGCCAGCGCACATAAAACTAGAAGGTGTGTGTATAGAGCAAGGGCCTCTCAGAGCAGGTGCTTTTTGTGATCTTGATGACCATATAACGATTTGATATAGGGCATTTTAGTGTTCCTTTAGAGTGGACCATAGTGTAGACGAAGAGTTGAGTGCACCATGCTATAGGCCTACTTTTTATACTGAGTGATAACACAACAAAACTATACTTATCTTGAATATAAAGTGCATTCACCCTCTAATATTAAGATCTGACCTAAACGTTCCCAGTATTTTAAGACGTTTGGAGTTGTCAGATAAACTTACAAAAGGATAAATCTTTGTCTGGGTAGATAAAAGTCTGACAAATTTAAACGTAAAATGTGTTTTATAAAATGCTTTCAGTTTATACGACTCAGGTTTGACCAAAATATTACCAATATTGTATGACAGATCAGGAATTTTGGGTCGTGAAACTCAATACATTCTCTTTTTTTTTTTTCGTTTTTCTTTTTGTAATTCATGGACAGAAGTGATGAAATTAAGCGTAAAAATATAAAAGTATAAAGGTGAGGTGTGGGTTCAGACATCACTTGAATATAAAATGTTATATAAACATGTTGCAAGCTTACATTGTCTTTTTATGTTTTGTTATTTACAAGCAGAAGACGCAAGCTTAATTTTAATATTAAGTTTAGGTAAAGGTGTGGTGTGGGTTCGGACATCACTTGAATACAAAATGTGTGTGTCTATTATTACTATTATTATCTGACCAAAATGTTATATGAGGCGTTTTGGGTTGCTATTTTAAAACACGTGTTCCAAGCTTCCATTGTTTTCACGTTTTGTAATTTACAGTCATACGATATAAGCTTAATTTTAATATTAGATAAAGGTGAGGTGTGGGTTCAGACGTTAATGTGTCTTGAATATGAAACGCGTTCAGTTTGACCAAAATGTTGTACAAGACATGTCAGGTTAAAACATACTGTATGTAGCAGGATTGCATTTTGGTTTTTGATGGCTTTTTGCAATTTGCAGACTACAGTCTCTAGAATTATGTGTCTTTTGAATATAAAACTATATCAGTCTATTATTGCAGTTATATTCAAAATGTTATATAGGCATTTCAGTTTCAGTTTTAGACACAATGATTTAGACATCACAGTTTTAGATGGTATGTAGCGGGATTTCGTTTAGCTTTTTGTTTTTGCAATTTGGAGACTATGATCTTAAGTCTGCAATTAAATTTAGGTGAGGACTGGGTTTAGACATCAGTGTTTTGAATATAAAATGCAATCTGTCTGTTATTGCAGAATCTCATGCTTTTCATTTTCAGTTTTAAACATGTGTAGTAGGATTACGTTTTGGTTTTTGTTTGTTTTTGCAATTTGCAGACTACAATCTTAAATCTAAAATTAAATTTAGGTGAAGAGTGGGTTCAGGTATCAGTGTGTTTTGAATTTAAAACACAGTCAGTTTATTATTGCAGTTCTAGTCAAAATGTTATATAGGCATTTCAGTTTTAAACATATGTAGCAGGATTACGTTTTGCTTTTTGTTTGTATTTGCAATTTGCAGACTACAATCTTAAGTCTACAATTAAATTTAGGCGAAGAGTACATTCAGACATCAGTGTGGCTTGAATATAAAACAGAATCAGTCTTTTATTGCAGTTATAGTCAAAAATGTAATATAGGCATTTCAGTTTTAAACATATATGTAGCAGGATTTTCATTTTGCTTTTTGTTTGTTTTTTGCAATTTGCAGACTACAATCTTAAATCTACAATTAAATTTAGGTGAGGTTCAGACACCAGTTTGGCTTGAATATAAAACACAATCAGTCTATTATTGCAGTTATAGTCAAAAGTAGTCAAGATTTAAACATATGTAACAGGATTTCATTTTACTTTTTGTTAGTTTTTGCAATTTGCAGACTACAATCTTAAGTCTACAATTAAATTTAGGTGAGGAGTGGGTTCAGACCAATGTGGCTTGAATATAAAACGCAATCCATCTATTATTGCATCAAAATGTTATGTAGGCAGTTCAGTTTTAGTTTCAGTTTAAAACATTTGTAGCAGGAGTACAAACATTAAAAAAAGCAGTGTAGCTTTTCAGATAAGGGCATAAAAGTGATATTTCTGAACTTTTGTGGTGAATTTGTGTTTCATTTGACAGACAAAACATACAAAATGGTATATGGTATTTTCACAAACATACTGTAAATCTTAAAAAAAATATATCAAATTGCGATTAAAAAAAGCTAACTTTCATTGGTTTTGGAAATTTTACAGTTTCATATTCATTTTGGAGCAGCCAGTAATATCGTAATGAAAAAGTATATATATATAAGACAAAGAAAACAATATAAAACTGCCAAAATGTCAATTTTAATAAAAAAAATTGCAGTGTAACTTTCAAATAAGAGTATAAAAGTGATATTTGTGAACTTTTGTGGTGAATTTCCATTTCATTTGACAGACAAAACAAACTATATGTTGCAGGATTAGTTTGTGCTTTTGTTTGTTTTTGCAATTTGCCGACTAAATCTTACGTCTACAATTACATTTAGGTGAGGAGTGGGTTCAGACAGCGTTCAAACATGTTTAGACACTCTTATCTGGCCACGGTGGGTTTTCCCCTGACCCATCGACACACGCCGTTGTAAATCATAACCCTTTGCCCGCTGAAAGAACACAGTCTGTGCCAAAAAAAGCCCCCGTAGCTGATCACCACATCTTTTACAGCTTGGTTAAAATAACAGAGGGCACCAGGCAGTTGCTATGTCTGTCTATGGCCCCATGCAGTCACCCCCCCAAGAGACCGGCTTTCAGAAAGGGGGGGGTTCCTTTAATCCCAAACCCAGTCGAGATGTGCTGACCTGGGCATAGCTCCTCCTGTAGCCGCCTTAGAGACACAAGCTGAACAAATTAGCTCATAACAAACACGTACAGACAAGTGCGAGGGGAGGCAGGGAGCGGGTCTGGTGTCATTGTGTATTTATAATGTAAGTAAGGGCTGCCAAGTGGTACAAGCAAAAGGGTAGTCAAAATATAGTCAAAGATCATTGTTAGGGGAGTATAGGCTATGATATCCTACATGGAGGTGGAAAAATTGTATTGTAATTGCTGTTTTTGAAGATGCAATAGAAGGAAACTGAGAGCGTGTAATAAAAATATTTGTAAAAGCTGCCAAAGTGTCCATTTTAAACAAAAAATTTGCAGTGTAACTTTCAAATAAGCATATAAAAGTGACTTTGACAGATTTGATTTGACAGACAAAACATAAAAATCATTATGGTATTTGCAAAAACATATTGTAAATCTTAAAAATATATCAAAATGTAATTAAAAAGTGTAAAGTTTCATCAGTATGAGAATTTTACAGTTATTACAAGTATTTATTTTTTGATAAAAAGCCAAAATAATTTCTGATGTAATAAAAGAGATAAAAGTGATAATTCTAAAAATTGCATTCAAAACATAAAAACATGATGGTTCAACTTATGAAAAAATAACGATCAAAAGTGTTTCACATTATTTTAAAAGATATGTG